TACTTCTCCAATCAAAAGCTATATTATATAAACACCATTAACATCACAAATCCAGCTCATAGATTATTTTATATCGTTTTTATGATATATTCAATACCTTTCGTCCCCAATGTAATATAAATACTAAATCTGCATGCATAAAAAGGCAATTGTGATACATTACAGGGGTGTAAAAAAAGAAAAGAAAAAACAATAAACGAGGAAATAGATATTAAAGATAAAAGGAAAAAGAAACTCGATTTTTTTTTTCGTGGGGGCCAAAATCCCAATAGTAAATAGATAAAATAGATTTTTTTTTAATAATGTTTTAATCTCATGCAAGAATCTAATAAACAGAAAATTAACTAAATATAAATAAATAAATAAATAAATAAATAAAAACACTAAATAAAAAAAATAGATAAATAAATAATGAATATCTTAAATCCTCCCCTTCTCCCCCCCCCCCCCCAAAAAAAAAATAAAAACGAAACTCATCAAAATTCAATCATGTTTCAATTTCCGCCCCCCCCCCCCAAAAAAAAAAAAAAAAATGTTCTTGATGATTCTGTCTCCCTCGATTGATAAAAATAAAACGCATAAGATCGTTGGCAAATTATTCCACTTTATTCCCGCGCGCGTGTGAGGAGGAGACTTTCTCGAAGGCGTTGTCAAAGGGAAAGGGGGGGGGGGAGAGGGGGAAGGGAAGAGGAGGGGAAGGGATGGGGAGGGGAAGGGGGAGGGGAGGGGAGAAAAAGGGAAGGGAAGGGGAAGGGAGAGGGGAAGGGAAAGGGGGAGGGGAGGGGAGAAAAAGGGAAAGGAAGGGGAGGGAGAGGGGAAGGGGAAGGGGGAGGGGGAGGGGAGAAAAAGGGAAGGGAAGGGGAGGGGAGGGGAGGGAAGGGGGGAGGGTAAGGAATTGAGAGGGGAGGGAGAGGGGTACAGGAATAAGAGGGAAAGAAGGAAAGTTAGAAAAAGGGGTGAGGAGGGGAGAGGAGAGAGAGGGGGAGAGAAGGGGAGAAAAAGGGATAAGGGAAATAGAGGGAAAGAAGGGAGGGAAGGAAGAGGGGAGGGGGAGAAGAGTGAGTGGAGGGAAGGAGGAGAAGGGGAGGAAGAGGAGAGGTGTTAAGGGGTGGAGGAAGAGGGGAAAGAGGTGGAGGAGAGAGAAAGAAAGGAGGAAGAGGAAAGGGATAGAGGGGAAAGAAAAGAAAGGAGAGGGAAGCGAGTGAGAGATAGGGAAGGGAAAGGAAAGAGAGAAAGAGTAAGTTAGAGGGAAAGGTAGGAGAAGGAGAGAGAGAGAGAGAGAGAGAGAGAGAGAGAGAGAGAGAGAGAGAGAGAGAGAGAGAGAGAGAGAGAGAGAGAGAGAGATTGAGAGAGAGAAAGAGGAATAAGAAAAAGAAAAAGGAAAGAATAGAGAAAGAGAAGAAGGAAAAAGAGAGGGAAAGAGAAGAAGGAAAAGAAAGGGAAAGAGAAGGAAGGGGAGAGAGGTGAAGGAGGGGAAGATAACAATAGAAATAAGATAAGAAAGTGCTTATTGAACAGTACGAAGAGGGGACCAGAAGAAAGATAAGGAAGAAGGGAAAGAGAGGGAGACGGAGAGATACAGAGGGCTGATAAAAGAGAACTGGACGCAGAGGGAGAAGGAGAAGATAGAGGAAGAGAGATTATGGAATCAATAAAAGGGGAATTTAATGGATGACATAAACACATGATAAAAGAGGATAGGAGGGGGAGAGAGAGAGGGAGAGAGAGAGGGAGAGAGAGAGGGAGAGAGAGAGGGAGAGGGGATTTAGAGGGAATAGAGAAAGAGGGAGAGGGAGGGGGAGAATAGAGGGAGAGGGGGAATAGAGGGAGAGGGAGAGGGAGAGGGAGAGGGAGAGGGAGAGGGAGAGGGAGAGGGAGAGAGAGAGGGAGAGAGAGAGGGAGAGAGAGAGGGAGAGAGAGAGGGAGAGGGGATTTAGAGGGAATAGAGAAAGAGGGAGAGGGAGGGGGAGAATAGAGGGAGAGGGGGAATAGAGGGAGAGGGAGAGGGAGAGGGAGAGGGAGAGGGAGAGTGATGGGAGAGGGAGAGGGAGAGAGAGAGGGAGAGGGAGAGGGAGAGGGAGAGGGGATTTAGAGGGAATAGAGAAAGAGGGAGAGGGAGGGGGAGAATAGAGGGAGAGGGGGAATAGAGGGAGAGGGAGAGGGAGAGGGAGAGGGAGAGGGAGAGAGAGAGGGAGAGAGAGAGGGAGAGAGAGAGGGAGAGAGAGAGGGAGAGGGGATTTAGAGGGAATAGAGAAAGAGGGAGAGGGAGGGGGAGAATAGAGGGAGAGGGGGAATAGAGGGAGAGGGAGAGGGAGAGGGAGAGGGAGAGGGAGAGGGAGAGGGAGAGGGAGAGGGGATTTAGAGGGAATAGAGAAAGAGGGAGAGGGAGGGGGAGAATAGAGGGAGAGGGGGAATAGAGGGAGAGGGAGAGGGAGAGGGAGAGGGAGAGGGAGAGGGAGAGGGAGAGGGAGAGAGAGAGGGAGAGGGAGAGGGAGAGGGAGAGGGAGAGGGGATTTAGAGGGAATAGAGAAAGAGGGAGAGGGAGGGGGAGAATAGAGGGAGAGGGGGAATAGAGGGAGAGGGAGAGGGAGAGGGAGAGGGAGAGGGAGAGGGAGAGGGAGAGGGAGAGAGAGAGGGGAGAGGGAGAGGGAGAGGGAGAGGGAGAGGGGATTTAGAGGGAATAGAGAAAGAGGGAGAGGGAGGGGGAGAATAGAGGGAGAGGGGGAATAGAGGGAGAGGGAGAGGGAGAGGGAGAGGGAGAGGGAGAGGGAGAGGGAGAGGGAGAGAGAGAGGGAGAGGGAGAGGGAGAGGGAGAGGGAGAGGGGATTTAGAGGGAATAGAGAAAGAGGGAGAGGGAGGGGGAGAATAGAGGGAGAGGGGGAATAGAGGGAGAGGGAGAGGGAGAGGGAGAGGGAGAGGGAGAGGGAGAGGGAGAAGGGGAGAGAGAGGGAGAGGGAGAGGGAGAGGGAGAGGGAGAGGGGATTTAGAGGGAATAGAGAAAGAGGGAGAGGGAGGGGGAGAATAGAGGGAGAGGGGGAATAGAGGGAGAGGGAGAGGGAGAGGGAGAGGAGAGGGAGAGGGAGAGGGAGAGGGAGAGAGAGAGGGAGAGGGAGAGGGAGAGGGAGAGGGGATTTAGAGGGAATAGAGAAAGAGGGAGAGGGAGGGGGAGAATAGAGGGAGAGGGGGAATAGAGGGAGAGGGAGAGGGAGAGGGAGAGGGAGAGGGAGAGGGAGAGGGAGAGGGAGAGAGAGAGGGAGAGGGAGAGGGAGAGGGAGAGGGGATTTAGAGGGAATAGAGAAAGAGGGAGAGGGAGGGGGAGAATAGAGGGAGAGGGGGAATAGAGGGAGAGGGAGAGGGAGAGGGAGAGGGAGAGGGAGAGGGAGAGGGAGAGGGAGAGGGGATTTAGAGGTAAAAGAGAAAGAGGGAGAGGGAGGGGGAGAATAGAGGGAGAGGGGATTTAGAGGGAATAGAGGGAGAGGAGAGGGAATAGAGGGAGAGGAGAGAGAGAGGGGATGTAGAGGGAACAGAGGTAGAGGGAATAGAGGGAGAAAAAGAAGGAATAGGAAGAAGCAATTAAAGGAAAATTAAGAAAAAGGGGAGGAAAGGAAGATACAGTATATTTTGAGAATACGAATGGGTAGATATGGAAGAAATTCAACTATTAAGGGTGAGGGAAGAGGGGGGTAAAGCGGCTAAGGGTGAAGGGGCAGGTGGGCACCCTCAGAGCAGATGGGCAAGAGAAGGGGGGGAGGGGGAGGGTATAAGCGTTAGAAACACTTAGGAAAGAGAAGGGGATGGAGAGGGAGGGAAGAGAGAAGAGGAGAGAGAGATGGAAAAGGTGAAAGAGGAAGAGGGGACGGGAGAGAGAAGGGAGGAGGAGGAAGAGAGGAAACAGATAGGAGAGAAAAGAGAGAAGAGGGAGGGGAGAAGGGAAGAGGGAACTTGAGAGAGAAGGAAGGAAGAGGAAGAAGAGAAAGAGAAGAAGAGGGAGGGGAGAAGGGAAGAGAGGGAGATAAGAGGGAACATGAGAGAGAAGGAAGGAAGAGGAAGAGGAGAAAGAGAAGAGAGAAGAGAAGAGAGAAGAGGGAGGGGAGAAGGGAAGAGGGAACTTGAGAGAGAAGGAAGGAAGAGGAAGAAGAGAAAGAGAAGAAGAGGGAGGGGAGAAGGGAAGAGAGGGAGATAAGAGGGAACATGAGAGAGAAGGAAGGAAGAGGAAGAGGAGAAAGAGAAGAGAGAAGAGAGAAGAGGGAGGGGAGAGAGGGGAAGAGGGGGGAGAGGGGGCGGGTGGGGGGGCGGAGTATCTGTGTGACAACCATTAGGGCGTCGTTAGCGAGGGCTGTTCAACTGGTCGTCAAGGCTGGGCGATCCGACAAACTCTCTCACGCCGTCAATTACCTCCCCCTCCCAGCGATCATTTCCATTTCATTACCGTCGGCGGTTGGGGTGACCTGTCTGCCAGAAGGAGCGCGGGATCAGGCCGACTCAGAAAGAGAAATTGGGATGAAATAAGGGCCTTTCTGCGCCTCCTGTCTCCCACACAAGCACTCAGACAGTAAATCTTCCTATAAAGCTAATGGTCCATGCCGGGTGATCACAAAGACGCCCCGCCATTGGTCGCGAGGCTATTACGAGCCCCGCCCTCGAGCCCGGGGACGGAGGCTGATTGGGCGCCGGCGGGGAGGGGGCGGGGCGCGGCGACGAGTGACGGGCGGGGCCACGTCGAGAGCGCGGATGAAGTTACCACATAATACTCGAAGGTGAACAGTTAGCGTTGAGAGGTGTCGGTCCCGCGGCAGAATGCGCCGGCACATTTCTTTACATGAAGGGCGAGTGTAAACATTAGCCGGCCGAGAAAATAATGCAGGTGATTTAAGGGCTTCCCAGGGCGGCCGAGATATTTATAAGACCACTTGTCCTCGCTGGGGGGAGCTGTCGACGGCCTTCTCCTGAGGAATGGGCCGTCCGGGCTGAGGGCGCGGCCGTCTCGAGTGCGAGCCAGCATGTCGGGCGTGGCGCAGGCCGCCGCCGAGGTCAAGCCCAGCCTCAACTCGGCCTTCAGCGCCGTCGTCAGGAAGAATTTCTCCTCGTTCTCGGTGGACTCCATCCTCGCCTCCGACTCGCGGGGGGCGCGGCCCGAGGACGACCTCAAGGCGTCCCCCCGCGAGCCCTCGGACGCCGAGAGCGAGCGCGAGGACGAGCGGTCGCCCGGCCGCCGCGACGAAGACGACGTCGAGGTCCGCATGGACTCCGAGGACGACCTCAAGGAGCACGACTCCCTCGAGGACTGCGCCCCCGACGGGGGGGCCTTCCGGCCTGCCGCCGTGACTCCCCTCAGGGACGCCCTGTTCCCCTCGCGCGTGGGCGGCGCCCCACACCACCCGCTGCTCCCGGCGGGCCTCCAGCCGGGCCTGTGGCCGCCCCTGCACCTCCTGCAGCACCACCTGGCCCTCAGGGCGTGCGCCGCCAGTACGTGCCCCAGCCTTTGTCCGAGTCTGTTCAGTCGCGGCTCAGCCGCCGACGTTTCTAGTATTCAATGGGCTTCCTTTCAGTCATCACTTTACTTGGTCTGTGCTGTAACCCTTCCCTCTTTGCAGAGTCAGAGACGCCGGCGACGGGGCTCCTCCTGCCTTCGCCCGCCGCTGCCCCTCCGCCTCACGCATCTCACCCCCCTCTCTCTCCCCCGCAGAGTCCTCGGAGCCCCCGCGCTTCCACGGCCCCATGAAGGTGACGCTCCGGAAGCACAAGCCCAACCGCAAGCCGCGCACGCCCTTCACCACGCAGCAGCTGCTGGCCCTCGAGAAGAAGTTCCGCGAGAAGCAGTACCTGAGCATCGCCGAGCGCGCCGAGTTCTCCGCGTCGCTCAGCCTGACGGAGACGCAGGTCAAGATCTGGTTCCAGAACCGCCGCGCCAAGGAGAAGAGGCTGAAGGAGGCGGAGATCGAGAGGCTGCGGTTCGACTCGCGGCCGACGCTGGTTCAGAACCCCCTCCTCCCCCCCGCCTCCCTCCTCCCGCAGTTCCTCCTGTCGAGCTCCTTCTCCCACCTGACGCAGGGTCTCCGGCCGCCCTTGCCCGGCTTCGCCCCGGCGCCCTCCGACAGCTAGCGGCCTCGTCCTCGGCTCTGCGTGGGAGCGGCTGCGGGTTTATTTATTTTTCTACATTTTTTCAGCTTTTCCATCATTCGGCTTTCTTTTCTTTCTGTTCTTTCTCGCTCTTCTTCCCTTCTCTTCGCTTATCTTCTGTTCTATACTTTTCTCTTCTCTTGCCTTCCCTTCCCTCTTCTCTTTTTATTCTCTTCTCTCTTTTCTCCCTCCCTCCTCCCCATTTCTTTCGTCCTCCCCCCCTCCCTCCTTTCTCCCTCTCTCCTCCCACCCTCCCTCCTCCCTTTTTCCTTCCCTCCCATCCCACCCTCCCTCCTCCCTCCCTCCTTCCCTTCCCTCCCTCCCTCCTCCCTCCCACCTTCCATCCCACTCCTCTTCCCTTCCTCCCTCCCTTCCTTCATTTCTCTTCTCTCTGTCTATAAATTTATCTCAATTTCGTACTGCATTACAGACTGCATAAAACAACAACCAATGGAGTGATCCTGTATGATAAATTTCAATATGCAATGCACTTTAAACATTACATTGTTATTTTCATTATTGCTATGATTATAATTATTACTCTTACTATTACCGTTATTATTTTATTATCATTATTATTAACATTGTAGTTATCTTTGTTATTATTACTGTTTTAAATTATTGTCTTTTTTATGTTTGAGATTTTTTTATAGTCATGTTGTTCACTGTATACGTAAACATAGACTTCTGTAAAGAAAACATGATACATTTAGTTCAAGAATGAAGAGAAGACGAGATAGATAGAAACACGCATACACGCACACACACGCATATACACACACATGCACATAACACACATACATACACACACACACGCCACCGCATGCACGCACACACACACGTGCTTACAAACTGCCAAAACTTCTCTGATACAAAACAACAAAAATGTATATATGAATATAATTTTAAAATCCCTCCCACAATGCAGATATGAAAAGAGAGAGAGAAAGAGAGAAAAAAAAATCTCTTTAAGCACTTTGTAAAAAAAAAAAAAAAAAAAAAAATGAAAACGAGCTTAGTCTCCCCTGTCGCTAATCTCTCATCCTTTTTATCATTATATCTCCGTGTTATCTAAACGTTTGTGGTATTTAGAAACGTTCGTGTGTTTATACGCATCATGTAACTGTATCCGTAACTCCGCTTTGTACTATAATGGCTCTGGAAGTTACTATGTAATTTCATCGGCCGCCCACCAAAGAGTATCGTGCTGGTGTGTGATAGGGAATGTACATAAATTAATAAAAATAATGTTGCTTTAGATATTTCTGATTGACCTTGATTAGTGTATATATATATATTTTTTTTATTATATTTGTTACAGTTTTTGGTATTGCTTTATTTTTTGCTGTGGTTATTATTATTACCATCAGTATCATTATT